TACACATGTGTGTATATATATGTATATATATATAGTCACAGAATTGGAATAAGTTTTATTAAACATCCTTAAAGAAATCCAAACCCTAATGAAGTTATGGGATGCAATAAAAAGTCTAGAAGAGCATACAGATGAAATGGATGAGGCATTTGAGCATATGAATGAAATAAATGTGTGGGCACAGTCACGTAAGAACAAATACTGTATAAAACCATAATTGTTAAAATTGAAGGATAACTGGTAAAATATGTACGGGTACTCAAGGGCAGAGAGGGCTGAGGATGAGTAGGAGTGAAACCACAGGGTTGCACAGTTCAGTGGGTGAAGGAAGGGGGGAGAAGTAAATGGGAAGGATTGGGGCAAAAAGGGCAACAATGATGGGCAATGTACAATGGTGATTAATTTAATAAAACAATGCATGAGAATTGTATGAAACACAATGTGAATGAAGAATAGTGTGAAACACAATGTATATGAACTTTATAAGCAAACCAATTTTTAAAAAGAATAAAATTTTAAAAAATAAATGGGTGAGGCATTAACTATCCTGCATCCCTGCCCTCCCCTCGTTTAGAAAGGCATACACTTGGAACTTGAGATCACTCACATCACTACACTGAGTTCTCAATGTAGCTGTAGATCTTGAACCTTAAGCTAGACAAGCACTACTTCACCAGTTTAATTCTAAAAGTCCCCAAAGAAAGAAAACATTTGCCATAAAAAAATGATGACCCTTTTACAGAACACCCTAGATAGGCCTTCTTAGAGTTCTGCTGAACTGTTTAGGAGGTCTCGTGGGGGAGGTCCCTGCTATGCAAACTTAGAACCTTCCTCTCATGTGAAGTTTTTTTTTTCCTTAGGATCCTTGAACATCAGGTACTGGAAGGGCCTTCACAACTCATTTGAGTGACCGTGGTGACCTCCCTTCATTTTACCATCTGTTTATACCAGGCTCATTATGCAATGTGTTTGGTTCAGAAAGACTAGAGGTACAGTACACAACATGAATACAATAAAATAACAAATATGAAAATAAGAAAATGCTGAGATCAGGAAAATGATAAACGA